CCCCTTTTTTTTTTTTTCTTATTTTTTTTACAGCAGTTTCCTTTCCCTCCCGCACAGAGTGGCAATGTGTAGCAAAGCGATCTTAGCACTCCTGGTCTATGGCATAATAATGCACTGCAGCGTCTACTGCTCACCTGCAGCCGGACTTCAGTACCCGGCGCTCAGGTAGGTCCGTCAGCTGTCCGGGAGCTCCGTCGGGAACACTTCAGCCCCCCTCAGCCCCAGCTTAGCTAAGGGCAGCGGAATCTTACCGGGGAGGAAAATGAGAGGGGATGTGGAGTAGAGTTACCACTCGGGCTGTGTGCCCACCCCCTCCACCGGCAGCCGCGCTGGCATCCCCCAGGTCCGCTCCTCGGGACCCCGGTACTGTAACCCACGGCCTCTTGTCCCCGGTGCAGTCCCCGAGAGTGGGGGGACCTGTTCTGCTGCGTGTCGGCGGGAGCGGGCCGAGGTCCCGGCTGCATGTCGACGGGGCCCAAAAGCTCCTCTTCCATCTGGCGCCTATCCTGCGGGGCGCTTGGCAGCCTCTGGTTGCCCGCAGCTCGCCCAGGGTAAGCGCCGAGCATCGCCTGTCCGGCCAGGGAGAGCGGGGACGGGAGCGCCGTTGTCTGCAAGCATGTGGGAGCTGTCATGGTTCGTGTAGCGGTACTGGAGGTGGTGGGGATTCAGTGTCTTCTTCCCCTGTTTACCTGTCTGTGTACGACAGCCCTTCTCAAGAGGGAAAGGGGCTGGCACAAGGTTGTTTGGTTTTCTGTGTTCGGAGTTGTCTTGCTGGGCTCCAGCGCAGGCTGGAGAAGCCTGTGCGGTCCCTTTTCCAGCTGGGAGCCGTGGGCGTTTGAATTCCTCTGTGTTTGGGGCAGGAGTGGAGGACACCCAGAGGCACCAGCACAAGGAAGTTTCCCGCGCTGGTCTGTGGCTAGGGGCTCAGGCCACCTGGTCCGGGACGGCCGATGGCAGTCTGTTCTCACCCTGCTTGTCGCCTGCTCGGGCGACCGGTGCTGCTTGGCTTAGGGGGAGTTTTGGGCTCGGTGCTGTCGGCCTGCTCCACCGGCGCTTGGCTCTGTTCCGGGGTGCCCTGCGGGGGTCACTGCCGTGCGGTGACCGGAGATGAAGGGGCGGGGGGATGCCGGGACCGCAAGGTTGTCCGAGGTGGGTGTCCTTTCTGGGGCTCCGAGGTGTCCTTGCAGTAACCGGGGGCCCGTCGGAGCTGGCTCGGAGCAGCCCCCGTCATCTTCCTGGGCAGTGCGGCCAGGGGACAGCGGGCTCGGTGGCCTGAGGGGCCATTAGCCGGCAGCAAGCCGGCTTTCTTCATTCAAGAGCCTGAATTAGCAGGAGTGAAACACTTTAGCGGCATCTATTATTAATACCTCCGCTAAAGCTCACAGACAAAAATAGCTGCCTGTAACGTGCAATGACCTACATCGTACTGCAGAGAGGGAGGCAGAGAGCGGGGGCTGGGGGGGCTGGGACACGCACAAAACTGGCGAGATCTCAAAGGGCAGAGGCACCATTCAACGAAAAACAACAGGCGAAGCCCCTCCGTGCCGGCGGGCGCTGCGGGGAGGAACGGGGCGCGGTCCCCGGCCGTGGGGCTGCCGCTCACCGCCCCGTCTCGGCTGCGGAGGCTGCTCGGCTCCAGCCCAGCCCAGCCCAGCCCAGCCCAGCCCCTGGCACACAAACGCGTGTGTGCGCGGCAGGCTGCGCGCCTGGGCGTGCGCTCCGCTCGGGAAGCAGCAGCCGCGGCGCTGGCAGAGAGGGGATGTTTCTCGGGCCGGGGCGTGGGCCGCGAAGGGCGGGGGGAGGGGGGGCATGTTTGGGGGGTTTCTTGGAGCACGTCTGACGGCGGGTGTGTTCCCTCCTCCGCGGTCCTGCCCCGCAGAGGAGAGGGCGGGGATGGGGAGCGGGCGGGTGCAGGGAGGGGATGGGGAAGTCGGACGGGACTGCCGGGGCTCCCGGGTCGGCTCCGCCGAGGGGTGGCCACCGAGGCAGCCGGAAGCCGGCAGCGGGGAGTGGAGCGGAGCGCCCCGCGGAGCCCGGCTGACTCCTTTTCCTTGCTGCTCTCGTTGCCAGGCTGGAGGATGAAGTCTACGACGAGGACGGGAACACCCTGCAGGACTTCGCCTACGACCAAGAGCCCCTCGGTATAGCGAATCCGTCCTCCATGATCGGCGAGATGTACACCTTGTATTACCCACCGGAAAAGAGGTGACTGCAACTCGCGGGGTGTCAGGCGTGAATTTGAACTAGGGAGAAAAACGGGTCTGGCAGAACCGATTGGGGGAAAAATAGTAATGACACCTAACAAGCAAAGAGCAACAACATCAAAATAAAAATCCCGAACCCAAGCAAACGACAATACCGGCCAGGTCCCGGTGCCCAGTGTAAAGCTCAGAAGAAATGGAAAAGCCGCCTTACCTCCAGCAGCGCGGGGGAGGGAGCGGGGGAGCCGCCCGCGCCGAGGAGGGCTAGCGATGATCCCGCAAACGGAGCAGAAATGCCCGGCCGGCGCGGAACCGAGCGAGCGCGGCGGGGAGGGATCTGGGTGGGGACGAGGGGTCCCGGGGGACGCGGGGAGATGCCGCCCTCCTCTCGCTGGCGGAGAGGGATGGTCGCCGCTACCGCCCGGGCTCCCGCAACCCGCCGCAGCCGGCTCCCGGGCCTCGCCGCTCACCCGCGGGCTCTTCCCTCTGCCCAGGCACGCCGATGGGATCTTCAACAAAGCCTACAGGAAACTCCTGGGCCAGTTATCTGCCAGGAAATATCTGCACTCACTGATGGCCAAGCGGGTCGGGTAAGGCTCTCTGCTTGTTCTTTTCCGCGGTGGGCGTTGGTGCTGCTGGGGCGGAGGCGCTGGAAGGGCCGCGGCTTGGGGGGAACAAAGCTGCCCCGGCCGGGGTCGGGAATGCGGGGAATGAGTCTGGTGGAGTCCGGCTCCCCAAGCACCGGCTGACCCTGGCCGCTCCCGGCGCAGCGTGAGCCTGGTTGTCAGCGCGGGTGTTCGCGGATTTTTGTTTGGGTTACTACTCTCGGGTATAGGGATATTTATGTGCGTATATATATATAGATATACACACACATGCATGTGTATCTATCTATCTATCTATCTATCTATCTATCTATCTATCTATCTATCTCTATCTCTATCTATGTCTATGTCTATATCAATCTATCTAGCTATATGTCTCTATAAATTTTTTAAATCAACCGATTTAAAATTAGCAAGTTGGGCAGCCCTTACGGTTTGCTGGGGGGAGCAGCTTATCGAGAGCGATGATCGAGGGCTCAGCTGCAGCAGTGGAGGCTCGCTTGAAGCCCTGCGCACCCCCAGCCGCCGGGCGGGGCTCCCCGGGGCTCCCCGCCGCCGGCGGGGAAGGGCGAGCCCGGTGCCACCCGCTGCCCTTCGGCAGAAGGTAACACGTTAATGAAGCCCCAGGGAGAGCAGCTTTCGCGGCCGTAATGAATAATTCATGGCGGGACGATATTGTCTCTCCCGCCGCCGCCCCTTGCGCGCACAGCGTCGGGTTTCGGCGCGGCCTTTGTCTCCCCGCGCATCTTCCGCGCAACGTGTTGCGCCGGGGGCAGCGGCCGGCGCGGGGCTGCGCAGGGCAGGGGGCGGTGCGGAGGGGCGCGGAGAGGGGCGGAGCGGCCCCGCCTGATGCAGCTGTGCTTCTCGGTGCTTGCAGCGGTGCCAGCGGCGGCCTGGGGGACGATGCGGAACCGCTGACCAAGCGGCACATAGACGGCATCTTCACGGACAGCTACAGCCGCTACCGGAAACAAATGGCTGTCAAGAAATACTTAGCAGCCGTCCTGGGGAAAAGGTATAAACAAAGAGTTAAAAACAAAGGACGCCGAGTAGCGTATTTGTAGCGATGTGAGTAACCAGTCACTCCTGTGTATACAAAGTCCTAAGAGAGAGAGAGAGAGAGAGAGAGAGAGAGAGAGAGAGAGAGATAAACCCAACAACAACAACAACAAAATCTAAACAAAAACAAAAGTCATTTCCAAACTGACTGAACAATCACCGCTCCTGTGTTATCTAAACATGTATTTATGTATGAAGTAAAGCCATTAAATGAATATTTTGATAATAATATTGTTTTTCTTTTGTACAAAAAGCACTAGAGAAACGCACAGATCTACTTTGTGGACCAATCGTTAAGTTATATATAATATATAAATATATATATATAAATACTACTAAGAATAGTAAAGAACAATTCTTCATGAAAAGTCTGCACAAGAACAAGAATTCGCCTGAGCTGTTTATGTTTTTATATAAAATAAATAGAAAAAAAGAGACAATCATTGTTTTGAATATTACTCCTATTTTTGTAACAGAAATTAAAAGGATAGTATTTTTATCCGAGACAGGGTCGAAGACATTAATTTTCACCATTTGCTACTGTACATAGAGAAGGATGACCTGCTCCCAGGGGGATTATGAGGAAATTGATTTGGGAGAATTGGCGAAGCAGATTCTTCCCCTGGTGAGTCTCAAGGCAGGCTCCTTTGCCACTAGCCTCTCTGAAGGGGCAGCGTCCCCTTTCTTCTAGATTTCGATTATTTTTTTTTCTCTCCTGCTTTCTTTGATTCCAGTTGTATCTCTATTAGTGTATCCTCAAACAATGAGCTTAGAGGATACTTATCTTGTGAAAACAACAGCTCGATCCAAATTGTGCATCTCTGTTGCCTATTGGAGGGAGAAATAGTTAAAAAACCCAAAACTAAAAATAATAATAACAAAAAAAATTAAAAACAAAACCAAAAATAGCCAAACTCAAAACCCCAACCCCAAAATCCCGAACCAGCAGCAAGGGTAGTAAGTACTAAGCCCCGTGTACTGCTCTTCTGGCTGTCTGGGCAGAGTTGCAGAACAAAGCCAAAGCAGAGACAGGACCCGTTTGGAAAGAGTGGGGAAGTGAGCGGGGGCGGCCCCCGGCGCGCCCCGGGGCCGGAGCCTGTACCGGAGCCGGTGCCGCAAGGGTCGAGGTAAGACGAGGCGATCCCACCTCCGATCCGCTACCCAACTGCCCCGGGCAGCTCGGTACTGGACCTGGATGCAAAGTACAGTGTGTTACTCTCCAGTGCTGTCCATGCTTCTCATCATGTGTAATAATGAGCAGGGTTCTCGCCTTTGCATTTTTCGGTCGGAGTTGCTCTTTTCTTTGATTGCTTTTTCTTGTAGGACCTCCCGCCTCTCATCCTCTCTTCGAACTTTTCCGAGCTCTGTTTAACCCACCTGAGTCACCTTTTTGGGTTATGCTCTTTTTGGGAAAAAAAAAAAAAAAAAAGATTGTGAACGCTCTCTCACTCCTTTGTTCTGTTTTATGCAAGCTCTTATTGTACAAGTTTAGGAACCCCTGTTGTAGCTACCACTAAAGAATTATGCACTACTACGAAAGTTTTTGTTCCTTGTTTATTGAGTTTGGAGGTAAAATGTATTTTTCTACATTCTGGCTTATTGCTTAGTAAAATTTATTTCATAAAACAAACTTTTGTCATAAAAGAATGTGTAGTGTTCACCTGTGGTCCGGTTTCTAACGAGATAAACCATTTTCACCTCATCTCTCTATGTACGGACTCCTATCTTACCGTCTGCCCGGGGGCTGGTCCGGTCCTCCGCCCGGGCCGGGAGCGAAGGAGGACACGTAGGTACCCGCTTCCTTCCAGCTCACCACACAAACCTTACAGGAGTCTTTCCAAAGACAAAACGAGCCCCGCATCCAAGACGTCGGAAAGCAACCCCCCAACCCCTCCCAACAAACCCTCGCGGGTAAAACCTTCCTTCCCCGGCCGGGAGGAGCGGAGCGGGCCGGGCAGAGCCCGTCGGGGCGGGCAGGCGCTGCCGGGCCCGCCCGCGCTGCCCCGGCCGCTCCCGCCGGGCGCTCCCGGGGCGCAGGGACGCGGGGCGCAGTGTGCAGCTTTCGTGCCTTCTCTTCACCTTGTAAATCGCCACGAGTTCACGGATGGCATTTAGTGGCCCTACGATGCTGCAACACATCGGCTTGCGTTTTAGTCGTCCTTCTGTTCTTTGGCCATGGGCAGAGTGCGCTGTGTTTGTGTCGGCTGTGGTATAATGACATAGGGCTCTCTTGACGTTTTGTTTATGACCTTATCAGTTAGAGTTCAGTGGCTAGTCGCAAGCATTATGAAGTGATCACCTAGGTTATTATCCTTTGTACGATTTCTTTTTTTTTTTTTTTTTTTTTTTTCCAGAAACGCCAACAGCCTTACCAAAATTTGAGCAGATTTGAGATACAGTCATAGTAGGTAGATGTTAGTCTTGGAGAACTTATTTTGTGTGCAAATGAATATAAAAAGAACTTAAACAAAGTATTATTACACACATGATATCTATAACTAGGACTTTGATAACTGTTATATAAAGTGTGTAAAGTTTGTATTAATAAATTTTTGTAAACAATGCAATTTCGTCTAATGTTTGGGGGAGAGAAATCTAGAATCTAACAGTGAAAGCTGCATTTCATTTAATTTGTTTTTTAATTAGTTCATTATTAAGCATAATTCTTCTACAGTGTTTTATGCTTGGGATATCTTATTTCATTAAGTTTCCACATCTTGTCACCTCTACTCTGTTCGAGCAAACTAAACAGAACTGCTGGAGTAAAGAGCCTAGTCCCACACACATCAGCTCAAAACACTCTCTAAAATATGCAAACCAAACTAGTCTGCGCCTATGGTCCATTCCTCTAACACTTCCTGTGCTTAGAAGCCGTTTATTTCAAGCGGAATTGGTATGTTTGATGAGATCTTCTCCTAATCCGCTTTTAATGAACATTCTGTATGCGATAATGTGCTTCCAAGTGTCACCCGGCTTGGGCAACTGCAGCATCTTTCTTAGGATTAAAGATGTACTAGCCGTCCTAAAAAAATTACACTGCAACACGACAAAGAATTCCTTGAGTTTTTCAGGGTAATAGGTGGCTACAGCCAAAAAGCACAGGGTAGTTTGTTGGCACAAAGTGGAGGTCAGAACTCAGACCTTCACTTTAGCTTGGCAATAGCTGCTTCTGTTAATTATTTTTATTGTATCTCCAGGACTTTACTCAAGTATGTTGAAAAGTAACAGCAATTTAGTTTAAACTAAACTCTATTTCCTTCTAAGACTGTACAATTCAAAAACAGAGCACAGGAATTTAAATGACAATTTCCTAGCAATTTATTTTTCAAAACACCAAGTCCAGGATTTGAGACAGACTAGTCGTATCCTCTTTGCCATGAATTCACCTTCCAAACAGTATTTTATTGACAAACTGAAAAAAACCAGAGAGAACTTAGCTGATGATGTCAGTGGTACATGTGAGGAGTTACTGCAGTGAGATAAAAGTGTTGATTAAACACAGACCAGGTCAGAGAAGAATGCCAACCCCCCATGCCCCCCAGAACATACCTGTTGAGGGGAGGGGAAGATTTGAGTGATTTCCCTGACTTACAGCATAACAAAATCCAGCCACAGTTTCCCAAAACCAGCATGGAGCAAACACCTGCTCTTAACCTTATTCAGGGCTCACACATATAACTACACTACATTTTCTGCCCATCAAAACTGAAAATGTGATTAAGACAACCAAGCTGGGCGCCTTCTTCATATTGGTAGCTAAAGGATGAAACTTAGGATTGGTCCACCTGAAAAGTAAGGTCTTCATCAAGTCCTGGTATTTGTTGAAGGTGTGCAAAAGATGGAAATTCTGCTGTAAATCACATAAAGATAGTCCTAGCCTCACGCTACTGAAGTTCCTCTTTACCAAATCAAATACAATTTCATGGAAAAGCTCATCTCAGTTCCCAGTGAATTAAAGTGATATCTTAAATGTTACTCTTGGAAAATATACAGTACTGAGTCTTACAGTATGAGTTTTGTGGGGATTACCAGAGTTCTGTATGCTGCCATACAGATAGGAGCAGAAATGGATAAAACTGGCTGAGGAAACAAGAATGACTAGGCAAGACATGGTTTTGGAGCCTCATATTGTAAAAACTTTGACTGATGTTCAGTCAAAGTGGTAAAATCCAGTTAGGCGGTAAAGAAGGCTGCTGTAGATTCCACCTCTTGGAAATGTGGTACAACACCACATCGGTCACATAGGTCATCAAAATCAGAAAAGCCAATTTCTTTAGAGCCCTGTTGTGAACTCAGATACAGCAAGTATCTGCTTTTCACAAGATTTGATTGTGAGGGTGCTGATCTCCTCTCCATGTGCCTACAGAACATTTGGTCTTCTTCAAAACATAAAGTTTGTCTATTGTCTGTATGTTTTCAGCTAGAGTTAAGGAAAATAGGAAAGCAGGAGGAAATTTTATCTTTTGAGGGCTTGCTACTTCATACTTTGAAGCTTTTTGATACTTCATACCTTTGCAGCTTACTTTTCAGTTATAGGATAAATAATTTAATCTTCAGGAAAAACCTTCAGGGAAAGCTCATCCTGGAAAATGTAAAGGCCTCAGCTTCTAGAACTACATGTCCTCTGAACTACACTCATGGATTTTCAAGACCCAAGTGGACTCTTATGATCATCTACTGTATTTTAGATAATACAGGGCATAGGATTTCATGGACTTCGTTCAGCATTTCATTTCTGAATGAGCTATTCTGTATGGCAGCAGTATTGATTCCAAAGCTAGCAGGGATGGCAAATTTACTGGATAAGTTGTTCCAAATGTGGCAGTTTAGCGCTGTTCTTTGTCTCATTTTTGAGTCCAAGAGATTTGTAGCCTGCTGAAGAATCTGTAATGCCTGTAGATTTCCCTCTCCACATAGGCAGTCTTAGGCAGTGTTTTGCTCTCCTCTGTGCCCTTTCTTTGAGGTAGTGAGGTTGATTTTTAAGTGCTCAGCGTGAGGGAGATTTTCCTCAGGTGGCACTATCTCTGAACCATTTGTATTTATCAACGCCTTTGCTCAAGTGTTAAGACTAGAAATGGTTACAATACCTAGCAGTGACCACCTTGAGGATGTGACAAAAAGTAGTAACTTCTTCTTTAACCCCTCCTTCTGCAGGTGCTGCTCATTGCTAACGAGGGTTGCATTTGCTCTCTTGGCCATTCTGCCACGCTGTGAGATCATGACCTGTTCATAATCCTCTCCCACAGCTAACTTCTTTTCCGAATGATTACTTCACAAGCACAGAAGCCATGGCCTGGAAGTGACACCATGGTTCTTGATTCTTATTTTTTACTATTGTTTTATGTTGTGTTAAAGCATGTTTTTTCCTGGTTATTTTACCTTACTGAGATATTACTTTCCAAAACATTCATTTTTTTTCTGCACAAAGACCATATGTGCCATCTCAGCTGTCACCTGGCACCCCTTTCTGCCCCCTTTAGAAGGTAGACCCTTTCTAGCAATGCTGCTTCTGTATTTGTGCATTGTCATATATGGGCTCAATCCTGCTGCAGTGCAGATCTGTCTATCTATTCCAGATAAGAGTTTGACCCACTTGTAAGTGCAAATCCTGTGACAGAGCGAGCCAGAGTGACTCATAGCAGATTGCTGGTCAGATTTCCTTTGCGATTGTGTTCCTAAAGTCAATCCCATACTGGCATAGTGGAGGTCCCATTCACTCTAAACCTATGTGGGACACCTGAAAGTACTTTCTGATAGAACCACAGCTCAGTTACTCACCTGGAACACACAGACAAGAAAAGTAGCTCATGATGTATTAATGGTAATGTGGTTGAACTGCTAAGGTGGAATAAGTGTAAAACCTCATTCATCCTTCAAAGTAATTAGTTAATTGTCTGCTGATAAGATTAATCCAAATGCAAAAATGGAATTTAGTTTTGAACAAGGATATTTGAGCACCAGAAATAGGACAGTTTACAAGCAGTGTTACCTATGTTTACCATTTATACAATAGTGTTGTGCAACTTCAATAATGAAATATCTACAAGAGCTAGAGGTATGGTTCTCTAAAACAGCATGATTCCTTTGTGAGGACCACAGCAAGAAGACTTCTTTCTCTTCAGGCTCTGAGAGAAGTTTCAGACATTGTGCTTCAAAAAGAACTTCATGGACATTCATGGTAGTATGAAACAGAGGAGTGGGACAGAAAAATGACAGTCACTTCTGTCTCTTCTATGGTGTCGTCCAGTGTCTCAGTACCAGATATCATAGAATATCATAGAGTCATAGAATCACAGAATATACTGTGTTGGAAGGGACTCAACAGGATCATCGAGTCCAACTCCTGGCCTTATGCAGGACAACTCAAAAATCACACCATGTGCCTGAGAGCATTTTCCATACACTTCTTGGACTCTCTCAGGGTTGGTGCTGTGACTACTTCCTTGGGAAACCTGTTCCAGTGCCTGACCACTCTAGGTAAAGAACCTTTTCTTGATATCCAACCTAAATCTCCCTTGACTCAGCTTCATTACA